CGTCAGAAGTGAGAATAGTATTTGACGGTGCAGCCCGCTGGGATGGACACTCCATCAACGATGAGATGTTTACAGGTCCTGCACTTCAAAACGACATGACCAGTGTGTTGATCCGATTCTCACTGGAACCAGTTGCGCTTGTTGGTGATGTGTCGGAGATGTTCCTCCAAGTCAAACTGGCGGAACGTGACCAGCGCTATCATCGCTTTCTGTGGTATGATGACAATGGCCAAGTGCAGGTGTATCAGTTCACCCGTGTGCTCTTCGGCGCTAAGGCGTCACCGTATCTGGCAGGACGAGCGGTGAAAGAGGTCATCAAGCACCACGGTGATGAGTACGACTCTGACGTCGTGCAGTGCCTAAGCAAAGACCTCTACGTTGACGACATGCTGTCATCACTACCATCCACACAGCGTGCCATCCAGGCCAGAGAGCAAACGCAGCAGCTACTTGCCAAGGGCGGTTTTTACATGCGAAAATGGCTGTCGAACAAAGCTGAAGTGATGAACACCATACCAGAGGAAGATAGGTCACCTGATGTCGTCCGAGATGTGGACAGTGACACCAGCCTCCCAACTGTCAAGACTCTCGGCGTCAGTTGGAACGCCGAGAAGGATGCCTTCACCTTCCAGCATCAAATGAAGGACATCACGACATTCACCCGACGCTCTGTGTTGCGCGGCCTGGCCTCCATATTCGATCCGCGTGGCCTGATCTCGCCATACGCCATCACGGCTAAGGTACTCCTGCAGGATGCCTGGTTGCTGGGACAGGGATGGGACGACCTGCTGCCAAAGGAACAAGTCGTCAAGTGGCAGGGTTGGTTCCAAGGCCTCCCAGACCTGAGTAACCTGGAGATCAGCCGCTGTTTCAAGGATCCACAACAGCCATCCGAAGACGCCAGTCTTTCCGTGCACTGCTTCTCCGACGCCTCAGATCGGGCGATAGCAGCCGCTGTGTATGTCAGAGCCAGCTACCCAGACGGTACCACCCGAATAACGCTAGCGATGTCGAAAGCGAAGCCGGCACCAGTGAGGCGACAGACGATCCCGCAGCTTGAACTGAGAGCAGCTGTGCTTGGCGTTCGCGTTAGTCATCTCGTCGCTGAATCCATCGGTATCCCAGTGTCAGCTCACACATTTTGGACGGACTCGATGAACGTCTTGGGCTGGGTCCAAAGCCACAGCCGGCGCTACAAAGTGGACATTGGCAACTGAATCTCTGAGCTCCAGACCTCAACGAGAGCACACCAGTGGCGACATGTTCCCGGAAAGAACAACCCTGCAGACAAAGGTACTCGTGGTTTGTCTGCTGCATTACTGTGCCGTGACGCAGTGTGGTGGTCCGGTCCACAGTTTCTTCGCCAGCAGCCAGACGAGTGGCCTCAGATGAAGGAAGTCAGCACATCCTCGCTGCCTGGTCAGCTCAAGACGGCGCTAGTTGCAGTCCTCCCTTAACCCTCCGAGATCCTGGGTCGCTTTAGCACATGGTCGCGACTGGTACGCGTGACAGCATGGTGCAAGCGATTTGTGGCAAACTGTCGGCAGGCAGTCAGTGACAGCAAGTCCACGAAGGGGGATGCCGCATCGGATAGCCAGTCCAGCACGCCAGTGAGAGTGCCAGTACAGCTTGGCGACACCCGCTCCATCAGTGTTCCAGTTCTCAGCACTGACGAAGTATCAGTAGCAGAGCGGCACTGGATTGCAACTGCCCAGAAGGATTGCCATGGTACAGCATACCATCGTCTACAGTCTAGGCAACCGATGTTGAAATCGGACCCTCTGGCACCTCTCTGTCCCCAGTTCGATAGTGCAACAGAGTCACCCCTGATGACGGTAGGAGGTCGATTGCAAGCTACAAAGAACATGCCAAGTGGCGTACGCCACCCAGTCATCCTACCAGCAAAGCACCGAGTAACCCAGCTGATAATCGAACAGGAAGATCATCGGTGCTTCCATGCAGTTGGGCCACAGCATCTTCTGGCCAATCTGCGACAACGCTACTGGATTGTTCACGGAACATCAACAGTCAAGGCCGTTCGAAGCAACTGCGTCACTTGCCGTAAGAACCGTGCGGAGCCAGCGTCCCAGATTCCAGACTTCCGAGTTGCAGGCTCGTTGAAACCGTTCAGCCGTACAGGAGTTGATTATGCGGGTCCCTTCCTGACCAAGCAGGGCCGAGGTAAGACGCAGGCTAAGCGGTACCTGTGCCTGTTCACTTGCCTTGAGACTCGTGCCTGTCACCTAGAGGTATCCTATGGCCTCTCCACTGAGTCATTCCTGTTAGCATTTGAGAGATTCACAAAGCGCCGTGGTGTCCCGCTTGAAATGGTCAGCGACAACGGGACCAACTTCACTGCCGCGGAGCGAGAACTCCGTGAGGCCGTCCGGGCCATGGACAAGGAGAAGATCGAGAAGCGACTGGTCAGTGATGGCGTGCGATGGCGCTTCAACCCACCTAGAGCACCACATTTCGGCGGCGTATTCGAATCCCTCATCAAGACGGCTAAGCGCGGACTCACAGCAGTACTTGGGAAAGCAGACGTCACAGATGAAGAGTTAGTGACTGCCATGTGCCAGGTTGAGGGCATGATGAACTCGCGCCCGCTGACAGTTGTAAGTGCCGATGCAGCTGATTTGCAGCCTCTAACACCAGCACATTTCCTCGTCGGACGACTCGACCCACCAATGGCTCTGGACGTGAAACCAAAGGAGAATCGACTCCAGCCGTTGCCCGTACCGCAAGTGCCATGGGAATGCATTGGCATGGATCTTTTTACCGGCCTTTCAACTACACCGCAGGGTAATGATGCAATTCTGACTTTCATCGACCGGTTGACTAAGCCAGCCCATTTCGTTGCCATTAAGATTTCTATAGACGCACAGGGTGTGGCTGATCTGTACATGCGCAATGTCTATCCCCTACACGGTCTCAGTAAGTCCATTGTGAGCGACCGTGATCCTCGTTTCACTGCCGAGCTTTACCGTGATGTCTTCAAGCAGCTGGGAATTCGCTTCGACTTTTCAACTGCCAATCACCCACAGACTGATGGTGCAACGGAACGAGTGCATCGGACAATAGGTCAAATCTTACGTTCAGCAGCTAATCATCGGCAGACCAATTGGGAGGAACTTCTGCCGATATGCGAGTTTGCTTACAACGACATGGTTCAAGGATTTACAGGTGATAATCCATTCTATTTAAACTACGGCGAACATCCGTTGTCTGCTGCAGACGCCCTTCTCCAGGCGGAGGTTTCAACTTGGCATGAGGCGCAATCCTGGGTCAATCGCCAGAAGTCGGCACTGCAAGTAGCAAAGGACAGCATCCAGGATGCAATCCGAAGCCAAGAGTTCTACGCCAACCGGTCAAGACGGAACTCAAGATTCAAGGTGGGGGATGAAGAGATGGTCCACAGGGACTATAATATTATTATAGCCACGTCAGTATCACGAGATCAGCCTTGCGCCAAACTGAGACCACGCTGGTTCGGTCCATTTGCAGTCGAGAAGGCATCTGGCTCAACTGTGCGGTTGGACCTCCCAAGAACATGTCGTGTCCATCCGTTGTTCAACACAGATGCACTGAAATTCTTCGTTACTCATGAGCTCAATCCTCAGTCACCAGCTCCACCACCCATAATTGACCTTGATGACAATGAGCGTTTCATTGTCGAAGAAGTGGCTTCTCATCGAATTCACCCCGGAAAGCAGCAGTACTTGGTAAAATGGAAGGGCTACGATGAGCCGACCTGGGAGCCTGGAACCTACTTGGTGGATGAATCCGGATCACCAATCTTGCCATTGAGGCAGTATCTTCAGAACTAAATTGAATGGGAGGGGAGTAGTGTGGTAGTTCTCACCTTTACCTATCAATTTATTGCATGCATTTCGCACCCCGCTCTTGTGCAGACAGTATTCACACTTCCTTCCTACTTGACACTTCGGTTCTTCTCACATTCTCATTGGTGTTCTACTCACATTCTCATTGGTGTTCTTCTCACATTCTCGTCGGTGTTCTCTCTATCACCTTGTGCTATAAAACAAGGCTCTTCTCAGTTGAGAGGGTGTGTAATTTCCAAGCTACTAATGATATCTATTACAAGTTATGTTAACTCTAACAGTTGCAGGCAGGAATAGTGGGATGGTCTAAGACCATGATTGAGAAACAGAGGGTACCAGGTTCAAGTCCTACTTGGAAGCGGAAGGATTATTTTCCATCCGTCCTGCGACCCACAGTTAATTGGGAACTCGTGGTCTGGCACGAGGAAAACATGAATGCAGTGAATGGGATTTCGGTCTTCGACCACTTGCTCGTGAGCTGATCTACTCACGTCCCACCGCTTTAGGAGCTGCATCTGCGCCTTGATCCATGAAGGGTGGTGGCGTTCCGACGGATGCGGAAAACGCGGCTTTCAGCCGAGTCTCACGCGAACCGTGAATTTTATAAACAGTTGCATCAACACTTTGCTCCATTTCAGACAGATTTCCGTAAGTTAATGACAGAAGACAAATATCTCCCAAACCTATTTTCTGAACATCATCTCCTCGAATTCTCTTATAACCCTGCTTCTATGCAGTTTATATATACGTACCGTACACATTTTCTCCCATGCATTTGGGTTAGCTGCACCTTCGATTCTGCGAATTAAAGTAAAACAACATGAACAGCGACAATGTGGAATGGTGAGCATAACCATGTGAAATCTAGATCAGAATCGGACGGTTTTATTCATCTGGGCCTGGTTTATTCATATGATGGTACACCCCTGGCAGTAATTATGGCAGTATGGCAATGATCCCTATGTCACTGAAGAAGTTAAGTGGCGGTAGCGATAATGATGATGTTACCTGGTTAATTAAGTGGAGCGAAATTTGGCAATGGCCTCCGCTAATCTTCCAATACAGTGATGCTGGAATGGAGCCATTTTAGCATTTTAGAAAGAAACTACAAAAAAGTTCTACACTTACAGTCGTTCATTGTTTCATGTCTTTTGCTAGTTCCATCAGAGCCTCCCCAAATCGTGAATTTACCCGTACAGCTACGTGTAAACCAGTATTCTTCAGCAACAGTCACTTGCGATGCGAGTGGTGCACCAGCTCCAACCCTGACATGGCTGTACAATGGAGCCATTCTCTCTACATCAGCAGCATTGACCATCACCGAAGAAACCTTCACCAACGACAATATCACTCAGAGAGGAAGCCAAGGGAAAAGATCTGTTCTACTTCTCCACAATGTTACTTACGTCAACAACAAAGGACCCTACACATGCCTTGCAGCAAATTTTAGAGCTCCAGATGCAACTTCCTCAGCCGATCTCAAGATATTCGGTAAGTGGACAAGCCAACCTTACACACACAACAGAGGCGAAAGGCTGTGTTAGCTGTAGTTTAAAGTTTCACGCATCGGAGCGAACATCAGACAGCAGCATTCACCCCCCCCCCCCCCCCCCCAAAGCCAACCTTATGTACAACAGGCCATTAAAACTGTCACCATTTCAAATTCGTTAACAGATTCCTGGGATACAAGAATGCTATAGTACTGTGACGAAAGGCACACCTTAGGCTTTTCAAAATCTTGGAAAGTTTTCTTTAGTTTGCTTTCAACCTTATCGTCAGTTTAAATATAGGCAAAACCAAATGAAAATGGACGAAGGATTAAGTACAGTAAAGAGGTGATAGAAAGAGCTCAAGGAAGAGATAAAATAACCTTATTTTTATCACTTCTTCGCTGTACATTGTCTTTGTGCATTTAATTTTGCATGTGTTTTGCCTGTATTTCACGTGATGATATGGCTTGAGAGTATAATAGTGAAAACGTTCAAGATGCTCGTAAAGAGCGTGAATTGTGGATCATCGCCTTAGAAATATCCATTTAAAATTATGCTACGTCTGCAAATGGCTTTGCCGACAGCAATAGTACTACAATCATAAATCTGAGACCAACATCAATCAATGGTCTTCATAGTACATGTCCATGTATATAGCAGTACTTTTAGAGCAGGGTCAGTACCTGATGATCGATTAAGTTTGTGAAACTCGGAGTTACGAAACCGCAATTGCTCGTTCTGCCGTCTGTGTATCCCGGTATTTGCCTTCCGCAAATTGAGCCCTCTCCGGACGGTGTATGAACTTCACATGGTGGTCTCTGTACCATATTATTTCTACGTCACAACTCTCCAAGTATAGCTATAATTAGAGAAGATACAGTTAATCATTCTATTTTCATCTTTTGTGATTACAGTTCCACCTAGTGAAGTGAGACCACCTCTAGATGTTAGCTCATCAGAAACAGCAACAGCTCGATTTGACTGCAACATGTACGCGATCCCAGCAGCTCGAATAACATGGTACAAGGATGGAAAGGTAAGAGTGGAATATGTTCATTGCAAATCTTCAACAATACAAGCGGGGAGGTCGACAGGATTTTCACTGTACAGATGACTCCACACAACAAACAAAATTCACATGAAGCAAAGTTCGTGATATTGTGAGCTATTCCCCATAACGAACACCACAGTGCGTAGAATTGGTTCTTTATCGCCACTTGTTTTCATAGCAGACATGAAATTACCTCATACAAACATTATTTTGCAGCTTGCATGTGCCACTTGTATGGGTTTGTGAGTGTTCATTTTTTTGCGTCCCTGAAGATACGGCTGTTTGAATCCTTACGAAATTGACCCTCTGCAGTGACCTGTTTTCGGTTATAAGGAGCCGTATCTTCAGGGACCCATAACACTGAACACTCGCAAACCCATACAAGTGGCACATGCAAGCCACAAAATAATGTTTGTACGATGTAATTTCATGTCTGCTATGGAAACAAGTGGCGATAAAGAACCAATTCTACGCACAGTGGTATTCGTTATATCAGGAGGCGACTTTCTCCAGCTTTGCACCATGGAATATTAAAACAGCTAATTGCACCAGAACCCATGGACATTGAATGAGATTATTGTCTTTTTCCCTACCTGTAATGCACAGCTGCTGTATGCATCCGGAGATATACAGCTTTCAACAGACAACGCAACTTTGTTGATAAGCAATCTTGAGTACAGTGATCGTGGTCAGTACCATTGCATGGCAGAGAATCGAGATGCTGTAAACTTCACTCTTGGTGGTATGGTCCAGGGTTCTGCAGCCACACTGCTAGTGTACGGTGAGTAATGCCTTGTCAGTCTAGATGTGGCTATGTCTAATCTCCGGAAAGCTACCTATTTCAACCTTGTTCTGTCTCCCAATAAAGTGGATGTCAAAGTCACTGAACCGTCTCAAAGCATGAAAGTCACCAATCAAGATGCACACTGAAATTATGTTGTGTGCTAGGTAAACATTACGGAATAGGAAATGGTTTGTTAATCTAAACTCGGATTTTGAGGAAATAATAAACGTAGGAAAGAAAGGACATACTGGATAAGAGTTAAGAATATCTGTCCAACAATGTAACTTGACTCTATTATAGAGTCAGAAAGTGCAACCGCGAGGCACCAAACTGACAGAGTGCTGAGACATTCTGCAACCTGGTACCAACATGTACATGTGGCTCAAACACAGTCGGAAGGTTGTTGGTTAGTGCTTTGGAGATGTGTTGGAGCTAGGTATCAGTTCATCGATTGTTTTAGTACTCTGCTAGTTTTGTGCCTAGATGTTGCACTTTCTGGCTGTATGATAAAATCTACTTGTTGCAGCGGTAAGCGGTAAGTGATATGTGAACCAACCCTTACCGCCGATGTCCTGCGATGTCTTGCGGCGCCGATTTTGCTTATGTGAACCAACCTTTACCATTAACTTGTGTGGGTTATTCGCAAGGGAAAGCGGTGAACAAATCCTTTCGCACTTGGTCCGCCAATGTTAATGAGATGATTTGAACTTTACCATTCGTGGAACAGTCTAGGTTTCACCAGCCAAGCAAAAACTTTTAACGAATGAAAATGCACTTTGGTAGCTTGCTACTTGTATTCAGTTCAGTGTTGGTTCACATATTGCCCGGACGCGCCGTGAGTCAACAGCGGTGGGCCTCCTCAAACTCTCCCGGCACATTGCGATTTTGTGAACCATTGCAGTCGTAACAATATCACGGGCTAATAATCGCAAAGGGACCGTTGGCAAGTTGGGCAGTGCCCAACTCTTGCGATCTGCACCGGCACCGATCCCGTAGAATTTTTGACCAAAAGTGGTTTGTGAACCGTTCGCGCCGGTCATCGCCAGTGCCGGGAGCCAGAATTTGTAAACATTTCAAACCAATACTTGTCCTGAATTTCCCTATATTGAAGCTAGAGAGGAGGTCCGTAAGCCATTCTTGTAGTCGCTTCAAGATGGCAAATAAGTCCGCATACCAACCAGTCCTTCTCGGATGATCTGCTGCACTGTTGTGCAACTTATGAATAGTAGTGTGATGTCATTAACGTTTGCATCCATAATTTCGACACCATTGCTTACTAGACTGCAATGAAATGTGTAGAAGTAGTTTCATGATCTCCAGTAAAAGGTAGTACCGAGTGGCCATCACCAAAGACCTTGAACTACTGAAGAAGCAAAGAATTCAAGCTGCAATTGGCAAACCTGTCATAGAATTAGGGAACATTCTGTACTATGTGTAGTGTTGTTGTTGTTGTGTTTATTTTAATTCGCAAACCAAACGGGCAGATCTGCCCAATGAAAACGTAGCGAATGCAGAAAGAAAGCAGTAATAAAGGAAATTGGGGACTGATGTAATTAGGATAGAGGTGGAGAAAAACTAAGCCAGCTGATCATCAAACAGGACGTTTGGAGTGGATTTGGTACTCGAACGTATGCGCAACGGATCGGAAGCTGGCTCTCCGCCGATGTCTTGCGGCGCTGATTTTGCTTATGCGAACCAACCCTGAAGGGCCATCCGTGAATACGGATATTTATATAGGAACGAAAATTAGTCATTTCTTTTCAACCCCTTCCCCTCCCTGAGAAACGATCACATACATACAGTACTGTTCTGGAATATTCCCAGCTTGTGGTGAATCTTGCATGACCTTTCATTGTACTCAGGTTTCATTCCTTTTATTCTAGTGCATGCTGCTGGCGCCTGATGTATTGACTATTGTTACCGCAGGCCAGTCTCAACCTTTGCATTGTCTGAGATTCAAGTAGCGTATCGTTTGATGCATGTGCTGTCTCCATGCTATCTAGTCGTAATATATTAACTCGTCTTTGCATTTGTGCACAGTCCTGTGGATACTCGCAGGCTGCGATTGCGCTCTCGCTTTCGTCATTCTAGAATGTATACTTCCATGCCTTTGAAGTTTTTTAGTTGTCAGTTTTGAACTGTAGGAAGCAGTTTACAGTTTTTGTTCTTGCAGTTTTATCTCAGAGGAGAAAGTTCTTGGTCTCATACTGTTACGAGTTGCTGTTGTATCTGGTTGAACGCATGCCGGGGCAACAGAGGGCAGCATGAGTAGCCAAGTACAGCAATGTCAAATGTTGCCTGTTTTTTATATGCCCACACATACAAACTGGCCATCGATATTTTTCGAGAAATGAACAGGCGCTCAACCGCTCCCCAAAATGACTGGTTTTCTTTTTTACGTAAATATTTACGGATGGCCCGTTAGCCATCCAATTCATATCGTACCTGGCCTTGCTCAGAGTGCTCAGCTGTGTTTTGCATACATGGAAAACAACTTGTTATGATTCTTTTCTTTTCTCTGTTTATTCTTTTACCAAGCGTGGGCCATCCCCTGGATTATCAAAATGGGTGCCTTATTATTTTTCTGTTTTTTTTGGCTTGTTTTCTTTACACTTCTTTGTGCGAGTTTCGTATCAGATCTATTGAAAAAGTTCATAAGTTTTGGTTGATGAAGTTGACATGTACATTGTACATCAGTCCAAACACTGATAATTTACAATCTCTTTTCATCTTGTTTTTATTTTTCTAAACACCTACCGGTACTTTTACCCATTCTACTTGCCATAGCTAGATCTAGCTTTGCTTTACATTTCTGTTTCTTTTTCCTGGTGCGTGCTTGTGGCATTAAAGCCGAGACCTTTGGTCGGTGGAGCCCCTGGTACCTCACCGTCACTGCTGCCCAGTGCAGCCCCTGCTCAGTAGCTGTTTGTTTTTGTCCACATAATTATATATTTTACGAGTTGGGTTTGTGAATAATAGTAAAAAAATAAAATAAAAAATAAAATAAAATCATCAATCTGTTCTACCCCTACTTCAAAATGTGACTTGCAGTGGCGGACGCGCATACTGAATATATACTTTGCATGGTGCTCGCGTTCCGTGATATTTGTACAATTGTCTTTGCTTTGCCTTTTCTCATTGTTACACATTTTGTACCATAAAAAAAGTTTGGAAGCGTCATTGTTAAAATGTCCGGAGATTTTGCCTGTTCTGTATTGTATTTTGTATTGTAATTTGTTATTTTACTTGGGCATTCCGAACACACCCTAAGGTCTTCTTACAGGGTGCCCAAGATGAATGATATTGTCAAGTTCCTGGCGAAATGAATTTGGGATATGATTTGTGCGAAGAGATTCGGGAAGCGCATTAAAGTGGTCAGCACCAAGGATTGAAATAGATCTGTATCCAGCTTGGGCTTGCACAATGGGTTAGAAAAGGGAATAATTGACTTGGCCACGGGTTACTGTTCTGAAATGCTTCTCATTGTTCACAGTTCAACCTCGTATAACCACTGGACCAAGCGATAAAGTCTTGAATGAAGGGACATCGTCCGCATTGCGCTGCACGTCATATGGATATCCCAAACCAGTGATGCAATGGTTACATGGTGGTGTACAACTTCCGGCTATGCGGAGCACTACAGCAATAACAAAGGCTGGTAATGGCACTGTCCCTGCATCCTACACCAGCACACTGACTGTCTCTAATATCGTGTATGCAGATCGTGGCCAGTACACCTGTGTCAGTAGGGTGGACAAGACTGGATTTGCTGATAGCAGTCACTTGCAGGGCTCAGTCACTGCATCAGCTACAGTCAAAGTCTACAGTAAGTTTTATTTTTTAAAGTGACTGCAAAAGCTAAATCCGATGGCCTCGCAATGCCCGTGTCCATTTGAGTAGAAGGTACAAAAATCTGCTCACTTATGAAATAAAGATGTCAGCACCGACGCAATCCACACAGTCAAGTAAAGCCAATTTTTTTAACCAAACGTTTTCGTTCCCTTTTCATCATGGTTGTCTTTGGGGAATAATGGGAAAATGTCAGAATACAGCAATTTATAAAGCTAATGCAATAGTATAGATCGATAATCTCACGCTATGCGAGTGGAAAAAAATAGAACTCAGATGATCAGGTCAAAAACAGTGTGAAGGTGAAGATATGAGTAACACGGTCATAATGAAAACATAAATGAGGAGCAGCATTCCTGACGCTTTCACGAGGATTAGAGCCAAACAACTGAACATCATTTTCTTTTGCTGCATAGGTTGACTAAAAGATTAAATTGTCGAGTGAGTAAGCAGCAAAAAAGGAAAGAACAATTTCCCTCCAAGCTTAGATTACTTTACAGATACCATCAACGATGACACTGATAGTAGTCCAACTAGCATGTCCTTAAGTAAAAGTCGGGAGGCTTCCTCCTGTTTCATAAACAGTTAAAAGTGTAGAGCCAACACGCTCTCTTACATTAGCACTGCAATAATTCAACTAATTTCACAATATTTAATACGTTTCGGCAAATTGCCTTCATCAGGTTCACAATGATGTGCAAGCTCTCAAACCAGCATTGTAAAGGCCAGCTTCCTGGCAAGAAAAGGCGGGTGAGGGAAGCAGCGCAATAAGAATTCAGCTATAAATGGCGATAATATCCACTGTCAGGAGATGAGACTACAGCTGGGGTATAAACAAACAAACAAACAAAATTATTCAGCTGTAGTACCATGACATCACTTACTAACAGGGGATTTGGCCTTTATCAAGGCTGGTCTGAGAGCTTGCACATCATTGTAAAGCTGATGAAGGCAATTTGCCGAAACGTTGGAATAATTATTGTAAAATGAGTTGAATCATTGCAGTGTTAATTGAAGAGAGCGTGTGGGCTAGTATATTCTTGTATGAAGATATTATATTTGCCAATCCCCGCCAAGTATTTTAATTTCATAGATAAACGTATCAGTGTATTACTGTCGGACCAGATATTTTAACGTCAATAACAGTAAGCGGTATGTGGATTTTTGTGGGTGAGCTAGGTGAAATTCTAACGAATTCCATCTTAAAACAGGCAAATGACTGTACATGTACATATCGTTTTGTACATAACTACTTCGAATTTTAACGATTTTTATAGATTCGTTTCAATAGTAAGAATTAAAATTAATGTTCGTTATTAGGGATCTTACAGTATTGTATTAGTGTATAGCTCGACCATAGATATAAGCATGGATGCACAGCGGTATGATCTAAGATTATGACTGAGAAAGAGAGCGTACAGGTCCTCCCTCGTTAGTAGATAATACCTGGTTAATCAAAATATATTACTCACTTTGTAACATGACTTTCAGCTTGAAGTGAAACAGGCACCATAATAATACGTACCCGGGCTTCTTCAATACAACATAAGTTATCGATGTTTCAACTCGCTACAAGATAATTGAAAATCTCCAACATGGGTCTCCCCGGGAAGCAAAATATCGTATTTCTCTACGAATACATAGATAATACGTTGTGCCTTTCTGCTTTAACCTATGTGTTTTGGTGTTGGTCGTGCACGGTCAATATTATCTTAAACAGAGGGTTTACCACTCCATAAACCTGGGCAAATGGGCGCTGAACGAATTTTTCTGCACTTAAGAGAGCATGTCTGAGAATACCAAAGTATGTGTGCAAGTGGATCTCTCCGATTTCGCTCAAAATTTGCAGGTAGGTTCCCTTTGGGGTGTGGATCGATTATGCAGAGCCCTTGAAAAAGTTTCTGAAGGGAACCTTGAAATTTGCATACCCCTCAAAAATAGCCGAAATATCACATTATTTATGCATCAACAGTCGCACAAAAAATTATTGGTGGCGCAAGGAGAAGCTTGTCGTTTGGAGTGACAAGTGATCACCGCTGCTTTTCCTTGTCAGAGTCAACACTACACTTTGTTCTGCGGCCTTGGGAGTAGTGTTGGAGTAGAAATTGCTGAGGAGACGTCGCGAAGTGGCGTGCTTTCCTGCGCAGGTATATCTTTGGCCGTATTTCAGCATGGTCGAGTGGAAAAATTCAAAAACGTTTATTTCAAGAAAACCCCAAAAGGAAGATGGGGGACATGTCCTCAGCGCTAGAAGAGGTGTTCTACTATCTGCCGGTGTATGGTTCTGGCCAATTGAGGACGTAGCTGGCTGTTTTGCCAGCGCTTGTAAATTGCCTATTTTCAAGACGATCATTTGTGGCGTCAGGGGGTCATGGACCTCGTCTTCTGGGATGCTGGCGTGGCTAAGCAGTACTGCTCCAGGAACTCTTCTAAGGTGAGGCAATGTTGGCTTGATGGAGTTTTGTTCATAGCTTGTTCGTATACGCTGTGGCGTGACTCGTTTCTAGACCCATAAATAATGTGATATTTCGGCCATTTTTGAGGGGTATGCAAATTTCAAGGTTCCCTTCAGAAACTTTTTCAAGGGCTTTGCATAATCGATCCACACCCCAAAGGGAACCTACCTGCAAATTTTGAGCGAAATCGGAGAGATCCACTTGCACACATACTTTGGTATTCTCAGACATGCTCTCTTAGCTAAGAATTATGTCGTAACCGAACCAATAAACAAAAGACCACATTTCACAAAGGGATTTCAGATTTTTATTAACAACGGGGTTGATGTAATAACCGGACTCGCTATAACGAGGGAGCACCTGTACCATGTTCCAGACGAGGCTGCCACCTATATTTAATTTAAAAGAACTCGTAGTCTGGCACAAGGGAAACATGGATGCAGCGAATGGGATTTTTAGTACTACGTTTGACCACTTTACTGGTGAGCTGATATACTCGGCCTCCCAGCATTTGATATTTTCAGCGTGGTGGCGTTCATTCGGATTCTGAAACTCAGTCTAATTGCACTGGCGCCAGTGATCTATCTAGGGTAGTGGCGTTCCTGTGGCTAATGAAAACTCAATCTAACTGAGTCGCAGGCAAACTGTGAAAAATTTGAAAGATGATGCGATGCAACGGATCCTACACATGCTTTGCAGAGAATCTGAGGGCTCCAGGTGCAACTTTGCTAATCATAGTTATGTGCAAAGCCCGACGGCTTCTTGACTATGTTCTTTCAACTGCACACCTTTCCATGTTTTCATAAGTTGAGGGAATTGGAAAGTGAAAAGATTAGTTCTGATTAGAGAAGATACAGTTAATCATTCAATTTTCGTCTTATTTGTGTGCAGTTCCACCTAGTGAAGTGAGACCCCCTCTAGATGTTAGGTCATCAGAAACAGCAACAGCTCGATTTGACTGCAACATGTATGCGGTCCCAGCAGCTCGAATAACATGGTACAAGGATGCGAAAGTAAGTGGGGAATATGTTCGTAGCTAATCTTCTGCAATACAAGGGAGGGGGGCAAGTCTTCACTACCCAGTTGATTCCACTGAACAAAAAAGAACTCGGATGAGGTGAATTTCATGTTAGAACGAACCATCCTCCATGTCCCTGTTTGATCCCATAAAAATTTGAATCTTGATTTAAATGCATGCCTGGTATGGAGAACGTTGGCCACATGTATTACCATTAACGTCACGTCAGTGTTTGTTTGCGTCAAGAGTGGACTGTGTTAAGCTTTGCACCATGGAAAATTGAACCAGACAATTGCAATAGGACAGGAGGACATTGAATATGGCGGCCTGGTCTTTTTCTCCATCTGTGATTCGCAGCTGCTGCATCCATCCGGAGATATTCAGTTTTCAACAGACAACTCAACTTTGTTGATAAGCAATCTGGAGTACAGTGATCGTGGTCAGTACCATTGCATGGCAGAGAATCGAGATGGTGTAAACTTTACTCTTGGTAGTATGGTCCAGGGTTCTGCAGCCACACTGCTCGTGTATGGTGAGTAGTTCCTAATCAGTCTTGATGCGGCCCTGCCCTATCCCAAGACGCCTAGATATTTTGACCTAGTTATGTCTCCTAATCTGGCGGTGCTTAAAGTCATCAGCCTAGCCGATCCTTCCAACGAACAGCTAATCATTTAGAATCCGGACCAAATAATTTGCATTTTAAACATCTCAAAATATGAAAGTCAGTAAAGCAAGACCGACTATACTGTAGTGAACACACAGCAGATCAACAATAGCTGTCTACGTGCTCGTACCAGTTAAGGTTTCATATATTACCCGACTTTTCAAAAGAACCCAAATGTTATTGATTGGCATACGTTTTCCCGAATCGCTCTCTGCAGGTTAGGTGCAATGGAAAGCGGTGCACGAATCTTTGGCGCTTGGTTTGCCATTGTAAATGGGATGGTGTGAACTTCACTATTGGTGGGCCAGTCCAGGTTTCTGCAGCCACGCAAATTGATTTGAAAAGACTGAAAATGCGAATGGGTAGCCTGCTTCTCATTTCAGGCACTTTTTCTCAACGTATCTCTCTCATCACGTCCAGAAATTTGTTTCCCTTTTCTCAAATTGTCCTGATTGTTCACAGTTCAACCTCGTATCACCAGTGAACCCAGTGATAAAGTCTTGAATGAAGGGACATCTTCAGCACTGCGCTGCACCTCATATGGATATCCTATGCCAGTCATACAATGGTTACATGGCGGTGTACAACTCCCGGCTATGCGGAGCACCACAGCAATAACAACGGCTGGCAATGACACTGTCCCTGCATCCCACACCAGCACACTGACAGTCTCCAATATCATGTATGGAGATCGTGGCCAGTACACCTGTGTCAGTAGGGTGGACAAGACCGGATTTGCTGATACCAGTCAATTGCAAGGCTCAGTCAGTGCTTCAGCTACAGTCAAAGTCTACAGTAAGTTATACTTATTCTGATTCTGTGACATATATGCAAAGATAAATAAATATAGTTCAAAATTTAACTCGGATAGTGAGCCAATTAAATTATTGTGAAAAGATGAAGGACATAGTTCAGCACTCAGTTTGGATTCTGCCGGAGACAGAGATTTCCACCTCCATAGAAATGGCACCACCCCCAAGGTTCAAGACATAGATGCAGTATAGATGCAGCTCCAAAAGGGCACCCACCAAATTGGTCAAAGACCGAAAATCCCATTCGCTGCAACCATGCTTCCCTCCTGCTCGGCAATTTACCGTGGGTGGCTGCACGATTGGAAAACATCTTTCCACTTTCAAGCAGGACTTGACCCTGGTGCCCTCTGTTTATCAATCATACTCTTCGATCACTATGCCAGTAAAGTTGGGGATATATTCTGTATGTGAAAGGTAAATTCGCTGTTGTTGCCGTACTGGTTGCCATTTGAGTGGAAAATGAAAAAAAAAAAAAAAAAAAAAAAAAAAGCCTACCAGTATTCGTTCAATTTGAAGCAATATTTTTAGTTTCGCTACATAGTTTGACTAAAGGACCAAGATGAGGAGAAAGTAAGCGGCAGTGAAGCAAAGAACAATTTCACTACGGGCTTAGATTACTTCACAGATACCATGAATGGTGTGGCTGAGACTATTCCTAGCTCCCGTCATCACTGCAATCTCAGACAGATTTTACTAACGCTGATCTGAGCATGAGACGCAGTTTTGCTGTCAAGTATACATTGACACTTCTGTCTGTGAGTAATGATAAGAACCATGGACAGTACGATTGTGTCGTAGAGAGTGTGTATTCACCATCAGCCAACGAACGCATCAGCAAATATCCTGGTCTATAGTAAGGAGTGTAGAGAGATAACTGATCAGAGAGATATTGGTATGTTGGGTCTATGGTGGCACTCACTTTGTTCGGCCTAGGTTAATACATACGCTGGATTAGTGCAGTGCACTGCTGAGGTCATAGGACGATACCGTATTACGGCAAAAAGGCCGTCCTCGTATACAACGCCTTCCTCGTATACAAGGCCGGGGCAGGGGGCGATTGAAAAAATAAAAGACCGTCTCCGATTAGAAGACCGGGCCTACTAAATGAGTCTTTGTTCTTGTGTTAAAAATAAAAGACCGTGCTCAAACTGTGGGAAAAAATAGAAGACCGTGCTCAAACTGTGTAGAAGAAAATGGAAGTACGGGGGTAAAACTGTGTGGCGAGAAATAGAAGACCGGGGGTCAAACTGGGTTGAAAGAATAAAAGACCGTCCTCGAATACAAGACCGTCCTCGATTATAAGGCCGGGTTAGGACGAGGTTGAAAAAATAGTAGACCGGCCTACTATTTGTGGAAATACGGTATCTGTATTGCTACGCATGTTGAAGTTAATTTTGTTCAGATATAAGTTGGGCTCTGCACGCTGTCTTGTCGCCCCAGTATATTGTTCGAATCGAAGAGAAGTATTTGTGTGCTGTGCAAAAGCTCTCTCAAGAGATTCTAATGACAACCCGTGTACCCAAGTTTGTGACTGAACTTCATGTTATTAAATACAATTACTATTATGCCGTTGGCACCTGACTGAAGTTTTCACATATCTGGCATCAGATTGGAGGCCCATCAATCCTTTTGCTCTGCTTCTCTCCTTTTGATTGCAGTTCCACCAATGGTGCTAACGCCAACATTGAATCAGGCAGTATTGGCAGGACAGACGGTTGAATTCACATGCAATGTGTATGGTATTCCTAAACCAAGAGTAACCTGGTTTGCTAATGGGCTGGTGAGTACTATACTTTCACTCATGTACTAAATATAAAACATAGTAAAATGATGTCTAGTGAAGTCTCGTAACAAATCCGTTGATCCCCGAGCTGCAGAGAGTGCTCAATGTCAGAGACAGAGCTTAGTATGTAGCAGACTCCGGACAGACCTGCAGCCTAGCGATCCCAGTGTAGAAATTATTTGTGTTGAACTGTTCACTGGCCTCAGTCGTACCATTCTCTTCTGTTGCTATAGACCCCATGGCAGGACCCTGCCCACTTTTCCCGCAACCTGCAGGCATGCATCGAGCTAGTTCAAGACCCCGCAGCGACAGCTATAGTAATTGGTGACTGCAATGCGCGGCTCAGCTGCTGGCTACCATCTGATCCCAATAGCCCTGCTGGAGCACATCTTTCCAATGTGTTTGACTCCAAAAACCTTACACAACTGGTTCGCCAGCCCACTCGATACTCAGTAGCTGGACAAACCTCTTCTCTTCTGCACCTTGTCGCAACTACCAACCCAACAGCAGCTAGGAACCAGTGGGTACTACCTCCAGTATCAGACCACTGCCCTGTGATTGTAGATTTTGAGTATAACTCGAAACAGAAGCACGCAGCGAGCCCTAGGTCCTCGACGTTGATATACGATTATTCAAAGGTAGACTGGAATGAACTCAATCATGCCATTGCCAATCTTAACCTACTCAGATCAGTCACAACATCGACTAGTATCGAAGAGGCTTGGTTAAAGTGGTCTCACAAAGTTGAAGAAGTGGTAAAGTAGTATGTACCGCAGAGACAAGCCCTCCATCCTCGCAACAACCGCCATTGGTTCTGTGCAAAACACCACCGTCTCCGTCGACACACCGTGACCGCCTTTTTACTACAGCTGAACAATCTGGCAGAGCAAAGGACTGGGTAGTCCACCGCCTTGCAAGGAATGCGTTCACTGCCGAAATTCGCAAAGCAAAGCGACGTTTTTACGCTAACATGTCAGCCGGTCTTGAGAAAAACCGTGGCAGACACAAGTGGTGGCAGAGAGCCAAACAACTATGCAATCTTACTAAGCCTCGGGCTCCGATTCCTGATCTGTCAGATGGAAGTTTGACGGCTACAAGTGATCTAGAGAAGGCTGACTTGCTAGCTCGCCTATTCTCTCAGTATTCTTCACCTCCTTCTAAGCCCCCGGACTGCACACAGCTACCCACAGTCACGGTTGTCGAACCCTTCGAATTTCAGCAATTGAGTACCACTAGTGTTCTTTGGACTCTATCACACCTTCCCCGGTACAAACGCACGTCTGGACCCCTCCCTAATCGAATCCTTCGAGAAACAGCTCCCAGTATTTCTGATTCACTAACAGCTATATTTAACCTCAGTGTCACCTCTGGCATGGTTCCATCAGATTGGAAAACCTCTATTGTTATCAGTATACAAAGGTTCAGGAAGCAAAGGCAGTCCTGGCTCTTATCGCCCCATTTCCCTGCTCCACGGAGTTGCGAAGGTGTTCGAAAGCATGATGAGCAAGCAAATGACTACATTTGTGGAGGTCAATACCCTCCTCCGTACGCACCAGTTCGGGTTTCGCCGGCAGCGGTCTACCATTGACCAACTAGTCCAAAGGACGTCCTCAATAAGAAGAGCCTTTGACAGCAAAGCTTTGTGCGACGGACTCTACCTGGACTTATCAAAGGCATTCGATAAAGCCAGCCATTCTGTCCTGTTGCATCTTCTCTCCTCATTCTGCTCATCTTCAGTCAAATGGCTCGGATCCTTTGTCTGTGGACGCTCTATTCATGTTCAAATTGGTGATCAAGTTTCATCCCTACATCCGTTGGGGGAAGGAGTGCTGCAGGGTTCTCATCTAGGCCCACTCCAATTTAACAAACTGATCGACAGTATCCAAACAGTGACTACCAACACATTGAGCCTTTTTGCGGATGACTCCAACATGCTGTGCATTTCCCCACCGACTACCACAATTACGGCTCATTTGTCTCAGAATGAGACTGATCTAGCAGCGTGTATCTCTTGGGCTGAACATTCTGGATCAAGTTTTAACGTACGTAAGTGCGCCCATATTGTATTCCACTCAGGCAGGACCACGGCAGCAGAGCGAACTGTTCAGATGAATGAAGCTAGCATATGTCGACCTGAGGCTCATCGCCATCTTGGAGTCATAATAACCCCCTCCCTAGATTTCCCTGCGCACATTCGTTCCATTATCTCTAAATTTTGTAGCAGAGTGTTCTTGCTTAGTCGTATGGCTCTTTTCTTTCCTCCATCGATCATTTCTATCTTGTATAAGTCATACGTTCGCCCTACTCTAGAGTACTCTATCCCCGTCTGGTTTTCCTCTCTGACGGTCCAAGACCAGGATAGTATGAGTAGGCTCCAAGCATCTGCAGCCAGAGGATATCTTGCCGCTAAATTAGGGAGGAAGCCACATTGGATGACTCCAAAAGAAAATCTTAACCAGCGCGCAGGCTGGGAAGCTATGAAATGGCGATTACAGATCCTTTCATTTATTATGCTATTTTCACCACATTGTCTACACCTTTTCTTCTGTTCTCTTTGATTTCAAATTTTGATTTTCATCATCCTCCCGGCACCCCAAGTCTCTTGTCCTTCCACCAACTGGCAATTACTTCGCTAAATCCTTCCTTTTCCTTATCGCTGTTGCTTGGAATAAACTTCCTGCTGATATACGTTCACTCGATAGTGCCACGCTATTTAATCGCCAGGTAAGGAAGCTGTATGAAGTTTACCGCTTCTCAGTTTCCGGCATACCTAGTTACACGTGTTGAACAATATAGTCTAAATCCTCTACTGCAGTTATTTTGTTTTAGTGCTTTTCCAGTGTTCTATTAGCACCTCTGGTTCTCAATCTATTGTTCTTCCTCTCATTTGACTTAGAAAATCTCAGATTTTGAGTTTTTTTGCGCTCCATACATAATTTTATTTTCATTATTTTATTGGTTTGGTGACACTCCCATGATAAGTATCCATTTACCTCTGGAGAATCCGTAAATAAATAAACAAAAGACTCAGGGGAGTGAAGTGTCGTATATATAATTATAATTATAATGAGTCTTGAGTACTAATCAATACATTCCTCAGCCATTCTTTTCTGTAAAATTAGGAATCATTTTCATCAGTATTACTGTAGCTCTCTTCAGAAGTTTCGGAATCTTTCCATTAGTGTTCTCTACATTCAAAATGTTGATTGGTCACAGGAGTACACGATCAAACACATGCCCACGAATGCACACAAATGGCTAAAACGGAGCGCAAATATAACCTGGTTACGCATCAGATGATATGAGAATGAGGGATTTAAAAATCCTGAAATTTAATTCCTGACACTCCTTAGGTGGCCTTAAGAAATTGTAGTATTCGGTAGAGTCTTTCTTGTGCTAAGAGGTTCAACCTTAATATCTCTTTCATTCCTCGTGCGTAGAACTCAGATTAGTGAGGTGTACATGTAAGTGAAGCGATATTTTGTTGCATATCTCTTCTTGCAGATTCTACAGAAGGATGACCTTGTTGGACGCATCTCTTTCCACAAAGGCGATCACATCTTGACAATCTACACAACAAAGGTTACAGACCCTGACACTTATCAGTGTGAAGCCAGTAACAAAGATCAGTATGCTGGTGGAGTGGTCACAGCCAATCAAGTGAAGTTGAATGTCAAAAGTAAGATCGTCACTCATGCTCCTCTTCACATTGAATATTCGTTTCTGGGACATCAAGTTGTAATTTAGGCTCCATGATCTTACAATGGTGTGAGAAATCTTAACAATCAACGTCTGTATGAATAATTATTTTATTTTTACATATTCAGATATTTGGGGAAGTGTGTCTTGCTCCCTACATGGGAGTTCGTGGTTTTCCTGCCGATTTGAATTCTCACTTGACTGACTCACGACTGCCATCCAGAGCACACGAGAAGTCCATCGAGCCGTCCACTCGGCAAACCTACAAGAAAGCACCACTCCCTGCTCAATACACAATGTTTTAGGGAATTCACCCCTCATCAGTTGAGCTTGAGTAGGCTGAGGAAGATTTGCCTGAAGGGCGCCACTTACAGTGCTCTCCAGGCACAAACATCACCAGAGATACAAACTTTCAGAGACGCTCCGTTCCCAGCGCGACAAACACCTCGTAAACACCAGAAAGCAGCGTGAATCAGTGTCGCTGAACGGTCGGCACACATTTCCCCAACTATCGCTGAAGTCGCACCTACCTCTTCTTCATAATCAGATATTGGAAATTAAATTCTTCAACAGCATGTCCATGAACACAAACGACATAAAAAAACCGTGGCCGTCCATCATTTAGGTGGATAGGTAAGATTCGGCACGACCTGAAGGCAGCGGATCTCTCATGACAAGCAAAGTCCAAGGTTCGAGTCCTTGGTGGGTCTGGCAATTTTTTCTCTTTCAGGCCCGACTGATCCTTTGAATTTGAAGTTCTTCCAATCCTTTCAAAAAATTAATCACTTTCTTTCTCTTCTGGTAGGGTCCAAAAACTGACCGTGGTTGTTCCCCTGGGGAGGGAAAAAAGACCCAAGTGCCATCAGTCTGTGTGGCAAGTGTTGTGGGCTGTCTTTGGAGTGAAATCTTGTCAGCGCCTTCTAGGCTCAGCCTGGTCCCATAGCTCAGTGTTTAGAGTATTGCTCATGACATGGAGGTCCCGGGTTCGAGTCCTGGTGGGTCTGGCAATTTTTCTTTCTTTTCAGGCAGTTCACTTCCCGGACTCATCCTTTGAATTATTATTATTAGCCCACGTGGCCGACCCCATCTCAGATGGATTGACAATATTAAAAATAATCTAAAGCACGCCAATATTGATATTTCTGACTGTTTTGAACTGGCTCTAGACAAGAAAGAATGGCTGATGCTTGTGGAAAAATGTGCTGCGCTTGCGTAGTTGTTCTTACTGCGATACGTTCTAACAATAATGAGATGCCTTTTGTCGGCTCTTCTGCCTGGATTTCGTTGACAGATGCGTTAAGCCCATGGATCCTTCCATGAGTGACATGCGAACTGTAACTATTATTAATATTATTATTATTATTAACCCTTCGAGAGCCGATTGGAAATTTCAAAATTCTGCATATTTTCATGTTGTTTGGGACGTAACTTCAGTTCTACTCACTCAATCTTCACAATTCTGGGCTTCATGGAAAGGTCTCCGCGAGAGGAAGAGACTAAGGTTACGCATGATGACCAGGACTTCATATCTCCAGCGCCGGAGAGCAGCGAAAAATGCTTGAAATGCGTGCAATTTCGTCCTGCTCCAGCAATTTAATTTTTCTTGATCGCAGAGTTTTCGATTTTTTCGCTGTGTACCCTTGGAAATACTACCAGTGAAACCCACGCAAATTTGAGTAACTCAGCGTGAGGAAAAGTCTCAAAATTCTCAACTTTTGCGTTGCACTTCACGCTTTTCAAGTTGCCGCGATCGCGGCTGAACTTACGAGCGATTTATCTCAGGGACCGTTGATCGCAGCGCTTCGCGGTTCTACGGCACGCTGAGAGTTTTCTCTTCGACGTAGATATTTGGATCGTTGAATTTGAGCTAGTTTTGGCCGAGTTACAGCCTGTTTAAATCTCTACACACTCAAGTATGGGTCGGCTCTCAAAGGTTTAATAGCAATTTATGTCCCTTCTTGTCTGAGGTTGTTCTTTGGTAAGCGAGCCTGTCGATTTTTTTTTTCATTTTTTTCTGAGGTGTTATACCTTTTGGAGAAAAACTCTATCACTGGAGTGGTTGAATTCACAGCTGACTCTGTAATTTTCTATTATGTCTTCCAAATATACAGTCGCACCTGTTATCAACCCTCCCATACCCAAGACTCTGTTGTCATTTGAAGGTTCATCGCTAACAGTTCCATGTACATACACTGGTCATCCGCAACCAAAGCCAAGCTGGTGTAGGTTGGATAACAATGGCAACTGCGTTAAGTCTGTGCCGAGCAGTAACTGTCCGGATTTCACGCCAATGGATGATGGCCAGTTCACATATATCCTGGTCATATCAAATCTTCAAAGCTGTCACAGTGGTGGCTATCAATGTTCTGTGAACAATACAGTAGATAAGGCCACAGGGCAGTTTCAACTGACCGTGCAAGGTACATATACTAAGTTAGCACTTCTTTTGTTGATGAATTTCCAAGTGAAACAATGCAAGTGATTAGCTTCTGTCCCACTTGCGATTCATGTTCGACCTGAGTAGAAGAATGTTGAAACCATAATACACACACCACAGAGGCGAAAGGCTGTGTTAGCTGTAATTTAAAGTTTCACGCATCGGAGCGATCATCAGACAGCAGCATTCACTACCTCACTACCTCGAGCTTCCTAGAATGGCCTTGTTTGGAACTATAATACATGCACACACACGCAGGGGCTGATACAGAAAATTCTTTACAACTGTGCTATTGATTGGCTGTGACATTTCCTTGACAATCCCCTCCTCATACAATTTCTATAACATGTTATCATTCTCATCCATTTTTTCATCCATCCTCATCTATTTGTTTTATTTCCCTCAGGTGTGGCCCGTATTGGCTTGCAGGGTATTTTCACTTTGCCAAGTGGATATCTGGGTGGAACTGAGGACGAAATCAAGGGTCTTTTCAAACCACAGGTAGGGTGTGTTTTGTACAGTGACCTAGGAATACCTGCAACACCTGGAAAAACGACATAAGAAAAAGCCAAATTTACCTTGAAGCCAGTGACAACCCATTGGTTGCAGTTCATTTAGACTTTGCTGAGCAGATGGAGCCAATAAATTATTGGTTACAGAAGAAAACTCGGCTTCGTATATGAAAGCAAGAAAACCGCGACCATCAAACTGAGAAGTGGAGTCCACTAACTAAAGCAAATTTGCTAATATACACCCCCACTCACCACCCTACAGGGCACCAGGTATGTACTGGTACATATTGTACCGGTGATTGAATATTCCACTTCATATTATACCAGTGAACCAATAATATACCTGATATTATACCAGTGAACCAATAAAATACTTGATATTATGCTGCTTTTTTAGGAATGGAAATAGCCACAGCAAAAACAAGCAAAATGAGACAGGGAAATTTAGACTCAGGAGCTCAAAACAGCAGCAAAACCGAACAAATCCATAAGCAAAATTTAGACAAAGAGACCAGCATCAAAGAAAACAAAAATGCAGGCAATCAAGACTCATCATTCTCTGGCTTGACCTTCTTCTTCAGTTTCAAAGGTAAGCGAGGGTTTCTGGGAGGAGCAGCACGTGCAGGAGGATATGGTGATAAGCTGATGGTTACATTCGATGAGCCATAAACACAAATTCCACCAGGGGACACAGGTGGCACAACAGACTCAGCAGCAGCACTAGTTTCTGACAAAGCACAAAATACAGTATTTTCTTTGCCAGGAGCTGATTTGGTAGTGGCAGGCTTACAATCAATGGCGGAAGCTGCAGCACTGGCATCAGCGAGAGTAGGCCTATCATAAGCTTGTAAAGATTGAACATTCTGTCACATTCGGGATGGAGATGGGAGAGGTACTTCTTGATGACACGGATTTGACGCTGGTCCTCGATACACCCAATTGAGGAGAAGCTGCTTCCCTTCAGACCGCCGGTGTGATTCTTGCTCATGAAGTCAGTTGCAAGCGTCACCCTTTCTCTTCCGTCTGGGCTGCTGAAGACAAGGTCACTTTTCACAAGTTTAGCCTGGACCTCGCCACCTCGGAGACAAAAGTGGGTTGTACTGATGAACCACACATACATGGACAACTTGATTGGGTCCTGTGTGTCCTGAACATCGGCGAAATGTTCCTTCAACTTTTCCAAATCTCCAGAACTAATGGCGGATTTGTGCTCCACGGCTGGTTCTTGGCCCGACCTTTTCCATTCCTTCAGTACACCGTCCAGTACCTTGTTGGATTGCTTGAATTCCGCATCGTTGAATATATTGACAGTGGGCCGAAGAGAAATCAAATGGCGACTAATCGCAGCTCAGCATGCCACCAAACTGTTCCGCTTGTACGGCTCGCCGTTTTTCCGCTTCGCATCAGCGTAAAAGCCTTCCAGAAGCTTGGCAAGCTCAGGTACAGGTGTCAATTTGAAGTCCAAAGGAACAGATTTTCCTCGGCATAATCTTCCAGAGCCCTGATCCACGTGCTGGTGGCCTTCTTCGTTGAAACGGGTACGGCATCATCAACAAATTTAGTCCTTTCTTCCTCAGTGGAGGAAGCAAACCTCTTCGCACGTGGCACGTGGTCATGGGGAGCATGCGCAGTTGAACACCGGCATCAGAGCAGCTTTTTCGAAATTTTCTTGTAAAAAACATCAAAAATGAGCGTGTACGTGTACGTGTCGGTACGTGTAGCCTGTAGGTACGGAACGTGTGGTGATGCCAGTGGATTTTGAAGTATTTTATCAGCGAAGGAAATTGTTGTATTATGGCTTCCACAATCTCTCCCAGGAAGTGTGGTGAGTGTGTGGTGTGTATATAGGTCGGTATAAGTAGGATAAACCCTTCAGCTTCGTGTTTATTGGGAATATATTTCTTTCATAAACACCTCGCCTACGGCTCGGTGTTTATTCTGAAATATATTCCCAATAAACACTCAACTTCAGGGTTTATCCTATACGTATAGTATAGCATTTATTCATATTTCTCTAGGGCAGTCCCCACAGACCTATGGTCTCCTTACGGGGTACCCTTTCCAATCTAGGATTGCGATACGAAATGTGCAATTTAGCACCAAAACTGCCGGAAGTACTGAGGCAGTACATGGAATGAAAGTGAGTTCGCTTTCATCCGCATACACACTTGGCTTACCATATGAATTCAAAAGCTTCGTAATACTCTCTGTGCTTTTTTTGTCTCTCTCGCCTCACAGATTGTCGACTACATAATTCCGGGAAGACTTGTTAAAATAGTTCATTCCTCATATCAGGCTGTTGGACAGAGGTATGTGTAAATCTTACCGAATTGTTTACTGGAACTTGCTGGATGCAGCGAGATTCGATTTGATTACGTTCATGACGTTCCCAGTGACTATTCCGTTGTCCTATGTTATCATAATTATCGAGATTATGACAATTTGACCAAATATCGTCCTCCTCTCTATGAGTTGTTCTCCACGACAGCAGTGTTTTTAAATCTAATCCTCTGCATAAAGTTATTTTGCAGGGAGAAGTACAGAGACGAGACTTGATAGATCTTCCTGGTGGATATGTTTCTGCAGCTCTACTGAAATCACTGTACGGTGCGATATGACCGCTCCAGCTGGTTACATAGCAGAGATATCGGGCAACAGCAGTGAAGCAAACCTAAATGCCAACTTTACCTCCGCCCTGCAAAACTCAGCATCAACTTTACGCCTAGCGAGAGCATCTAGTCTGAAGGTGTTTTCTTATGGTAAGAATTTGGGGCTGGAAATCAGTCTGCGCAATAGTTGTTAGCCCTTCTCTTTTAAAAATAGTGGTTGCGACTTCGGCAATGATTTTTCAGGAGTGGGTTTGTTCCCACACTGGAGGTCGCGCTATTTCGCCAGCCCTATTCGCGCTATTCCGCCGACTTGACACTTGAATAGATAACCCTGTAGTATTGGTGCAAATGATAAGTATATCCATGATATAAAGGCTGAGTTTGAAAATGGTTCCTAACTTTAAGATTGGCTCATACCAACGGTGGTGAAACATTACGTAATTTAAAACGAAAGTTTATGCTTGGATTATTATGGCATCTACAGCAGTTTCTGTTTTTGGTGACTTTTCTTAACAGATGTTTGCAGTCCAGAAGTAACTGATGGAGCAAGACGTGGAATGTTTTACTGGACCGAGACTTTTGCAAATGAACTAGAAACACATCTGTGCCCAGTGGAACTGACTGATGGTATTATCCGCTATGCAACCCGTCGGTGTATACCCACGTCACGCCCTCACGATGTATCCTTGGTGATGGCAACATGGCAAAAACCAGATATCGCAGATTGTCCAACTCCAGGTACAGCAAAGCTACAGAAACTTTCAAAGGTAAAGGGCAGTTCTGCAGCTCATGACTGAAGTTTGAGGGTGATAAAAGGTTGATAGTCTAAGTGCAAGAAATTATTATTAATGGCATCACTTTCTTAGCAATGAAACCCATTGATTTTTGCTGTACCTTAACGGTCAAATATTTCTGCACATTTCACTCTTCAGACATATACTGGCTCCGGTTATTAGACTCCGGTTTTTGGTAATTGAAGGCATGCTTTGGTTTGTCATCATTTTTTAATCTAACAATGACAACGAGCTGGCTCAATTTAGGAAACAAATTAACCTCGTAAAAAGACTGGGCTTCACCTTGATCCGTTACACGGCTAATCATGCACTTTTAAATACCTATTAGCCTAGTATTAGGTATCGCCAAGTTTCTTATAATATTTCATGTCACCGCGTGCGTACCTTTTCGACTCATTAACAAGAAGAAGAATAAGAAGAACCGAGACGAGTCAACCGATGCCTGTTGTGGCGAACATTCTCTAGCCAGTATGGCAGATCAGAGGTTTTCAACTTCTCGATGCTCTTGCATTCCAGGCGATGGTGCGTAGAAGGTGCGAGCTATGAAACTAACTATTTTTTCCAAGACTTATGGCTGGGCCTACTCACCTGTACACACAGAATCGGGTTTTGTTTTTTTCCAATGTTTTTTTTCGCCCACCCGTGTACCTTTTCCAGGCAATGTCCGACTCCAAACATAGAATTAACTTGGTGTGGCCTAAGTGACACACTAACAAGTTGGCGCTTGCACTCAGGACAATAACTTGATTTTCTCTGTGACAGTTGCCCTGCAATGATGTACATGTCTTATTCTTTCTCATGTTTATCTACAAATGCAGGTTGATTTCAACACCAGCGAACCGCAATCGGTTCTGAGCAGCTCACTCTCTGTCGCTAACTTAACTAACAACAGTGCTGAGCTGACAAGCGATGACATCGATTTTGCCTCGACAGCTATCTTCAATCTGGTCACGGCTGTCAGTAAGGATGAGGTGTTCAACCAATCCATAGGGCAAAAGGTAAGCTTTGTTATACCAATAACTCGCCTGCTAAAGAACTATATTCAACTTGGCGAATCCGAACTTAGAAGTTGCGAACTTGGCGAATGTTTCTGCTACTTCAAGATTGATGCAAATAGCAATCAGCAGGCAGCTGTAGCAGTAGTTCATATCAGACAATCCCATGCCTTAGTTGTCCATTGCGTATGTTGCCCCAGGCTTATCTTGTCCCATGCTTATGTATCTTGTCCCATTGTTTTGTTTGCCATTTTAACTACATACAAACTACCGTATGCCTTTTCCGACACATGGGGAAATCTATAGTCAGCAAGTTCATGAATAATATTTTAAAACACAACCGGAACAAATATATTGAAAGAACAAAATCTTCCCTTCTGAGCGTGGCAAGATGGGTAAAACAGGTCTCTCTCGGTAGTATCAATGTAGAGGATTTACGATACCTGGTGTGATTGGTGTAATTTTCACTCATGCACACATCTTTCAATTGTCCTGCTTCTAAGATTGCTGTGTCAATACTGGACACTGTCGACAACATTCTGCAAGTGAATACCAATGAAACTGTGGTAGCAGCATCACCAGCAAAAAGGTACTTCATATAATTATTATAGTTCTCTCTCTTTTTATTGTGTCAATAAATCACTGACCGTCAGATAGATCTACTCAAGTATCCCGATCGATTTCTTTGACACATTATTCAATTGGTGCCATTCCTATTTTTGCAAGAAGATCTTTCCCCCTGCTATAGAGAGAGATGTTTATTTTTGTGTGCCTGGTAATGTACATATTGCACATGTATGATTCCATTTATAATTTTCTGTCATATTTATCCAGGATTGCAAAGGCAATGGAGCGACTTGTGACATCACTGGTTGTAGAGACTGATCAGCCCTTCCAGGAGCAAAAGGAGAATATTGGATTTGCAATCAGCTGCCCAAAGGAGAATGCAACAGACCAAGCATTCCGTTCAGCGGGACAGACCAAAGATGGACGTTTTTATGTTGGAGACGTAGATGTACCCGCTTCCGGTATGTTTTACGAAGTATTTTTTTTTTTTACAAAGACCACTTAATGCCAAACATGAGATGCAGCTAGGGGAAGCACGCACAACCTGAATTGTGGCAGTGGTGGTGAGGTTTAATTCCCTGAGATTATGACAAATCCTATGGCATGGCACGGATGGACAAATTCCTACCATTTTCCGTGGACTGCTTCTGGTTTAAATGGGTATGGCAAATTGGATTTCGAACTTAGCCTAGATCCCATTCCCCGCATACGTTTAATCATCCAGATCAATTCTTCGGCCTCCATAGCCTTACTCTGCACAATTGTTCTTCTCGTTGTACCCTTCATTTTCTCTGCGCCTACAGCGAGCACTACTGGTGTCTCATTTGACATAGCTGGAAGCACTGTAGCTGCCGCAACAGAGTTACTATCTCTGGGAAATGACTCACTTTGCAATGTGGCACCAACACGCTACATTTTGTACAAAACTCAAACTCTGTTCCGAGATTCCAATCTGAGTGCAAACACATCTGTTCAATCAGAGATTATCAGCGCTCAAGTTGGAGAGGAACGTCTGGAGAATCTTCAGCAGCCAGCAATCATGTCGTTTGATTTATTGGGTTTAACACCTGTTGTAAGTCAATTGAATGTTGCAAGTCTATTGGATTAGTAAATGTTTTTAGGTGATTAAGGTTGATAATCTCCTTGGTGAGTGTTATCCAATCACCTTCCGTTGATGTAGGGACGACATCTGCGCCTTTATCCTTGAGGGTAGTGGTGTTCCTACGGGTGCGGAAAACTAAGCCCCCAGTCGGAGCTCATGCAAATCGTGGTTTTTTACTGGACCAGGCCATAGTGGAAGATTCAATTTTTTCCTCAATTCTGTTTGTTAATTTGAAGAAACTAGGAATACTTCAAATACTCTTTATGATCTGGTGGAACAAACCATCATGACGTCTATCCTGAAATCTACATTGACATACCCAAGGTAGGCGTAAGTTGTAACTACCATGCTTGGATTGTAGGTTTATCAATGGGAAATCTCCCTTATCCGTTTGTGCTTCTCATTGTAAGGATTCCGCTGGTGAAGCCATATGCGTTTTCTGGGACTTCGACAAAGGTGAGCAGTAGTGCACATTTCCCTTTGAGACAAAAATGCGATAATACTCAGCAAAGGACACACTTCAGGCCCTTTACGAACATCTTGAAAGTTTCGGTTTCACATGTTTACTTTCAAGCCTTTGATCTGCCTTTGCAAACAGAATAAAAGTAGATTCACAATTAAGCTGTTAGGTAGGTCGTCAAAACTCGCTAGGTATGTTTATTGGTTGTTTCTTCTTGTCGCACCACATGTCACGCTTTTTGAGTTTTCTCGCACCTGCACCTCTGTGCCATTATTGCTCTGTGTATAGGTCACGCATTTTGGCAGTATATTTTACTTCAGTAGCTATCTTCTTCTTCGTGCTGTTTTATTACGTCCTTACTGTACTTAATCCACATATCGTTTACCTTTCCCTTTACCTGTATGTCACCTGATGACTAGGCTTACACTTGTGAAACCGATAACTTTCAAAGGTGATCGTAAAGAGCCTGAAGTGTGTCCCTTTCTGAGTAGTATGGGTGTGCACTTGATTGTTACTAAACCAAA